CTTTCTTTCTTTCTTTCTTTCTTTCTTTCTTTCTTTCTTTCTTTCTTCCTTCCTTCCTTCCTTCCTTCCTTCCTTCCTTCCTTCTTTCCTCCTTTCTTTCCTCCTCCTTTCCTCCTTCCTCCTTCCCTTCCTCCTTTCTTTCCTTTTTCCTCCTTCCTCCTTCCCTTCCTCCTTCCCTTTCTCCTTTCTTTCCTCCTTCTTTCCTTCCCTTCCTCCTTTCTTTCCTTCTTCCTCCTTTCCCCCTTCCTCCTTCCCTTCCTCCTTTCTTTCCTCCTTCCCTCTTCCTTCCTCCTTCCCTTCCTCCTTTCCCTCTTCCCTTCCTCCTTCCCTTCCTCCTTCCCCCTTCTTTCCTCCTTCCCTTCTTTCTTTCCTTCCTTCCTTCTTCCTTCCTTCCTTTCTTTCCGTCCTCCTTTCTTTCATAATAAAACTTTTATCTTCTCATTTTCAAACCATAGTATCTACCACATGGCCAAATTGAAAACAAAAGTGGGTCTTTTTAGTTCTCCTTTTAATGTTCGCATTCACATTCTTGATACAATGCATATGGTGGGGTTCTTCCAATAAGCTGACCTTCAACAGCCCAGGATGATAGAGAGGGATGGCGAGAGGGGCTTTTCTCCCCTAGAAGGGGAATAATGGCTAAATCAAACTACTTCAGATTGCGTCCACTCCTCCCTCTTCCTTCTGACTGTGCCGTTACCTCCACCACCTCTTTCCATTAGGCTTCCCCAGTCCTCCATTCAAGACCTGAGAGGCTGGGTTCCAGCCACATTGGGCCCACCAGATTGCAACCAATTCTCAACCCAACCCCAACCTCCCTCTCTCTTCTCTGCAGGTGGTGATGCTGGATGAACCTACCTCAGGCATGGACCCCGTTTCACGACGGGCCACGTGGGAGCTCCTGCAGCAGCAGCGGAGAACTCGCACCATCTTGCTCACCACCCATTTCATGGATGAGGCAGACCTGTTGGGCGACCGCATCGCCATTATGGCCAAGGGGGAGCTCCAGTGTTGTGGATCTTCCCTCTTTCTCAAGCATAAATATGGTGAGGAGATTAGACTTAGAATGATGTTATTGTCGCTTTGAATGCACACCAATCGGCGTCCGTTGAAATGAGATTTCGTTGCTTACAGCTCTCAAAGGGACACCGCCTCCAATATACACTATATAAACATGACAAAATAAATAAATACAAAATTATGTATATACCCACATATATTATATGAATACTAGCTCTATATCCGTGCTTCGCTATGAAACTATGTGGTCTGGCTTAGTTTTTGGGGAGGAAAATAAGGGGAAAAATTTTCTGCCTCTGCCTACTAGCATCCATCGGTATTCATCTGACTGTGTGTTGAAGAGTGTTGAAGGCTGTTTGGAAATTGAAACAGTATTTGCTGTGTGAGCAAGAAGGAAACAGCAAGGAGCCTGGGCGTGGCTTAGCTCAACTGTTCTGTACTAAAGCTGCTTGGTGCTCTGAAACTGAAACTCCTCTGCTTGTGTTGTGCATTTGGAACAGATTTCTTTTCAGGTGGGGAGGGGGAGTAGAACTCCTTAGCATCAGAGCATGTTAATAATAATAATAATAATAATATAGGAAATCCTAATGCTCTGATGGTCATTTCAAAAGATCCTTTCTTGGTGAGCACCTAGAAGCCAAGAGGAACATTCGTGCCACATTTCAAGTTCATAAGATTTTGTGATGATGGATGAGTGGTATTTCGCTTTTATATATATAGATGATTGTGATTACTCTAGATCTTGGCTTGAGGAGAAGAGAACAGGACCTCCTCATCTTAACTTAATTCTTACTTTCTTATTGATTACATTTTTGCAGAGCCCTTGGTGCTCTCTGAATTTGTTTGTTTCTAGAGGGGAAAAAAACACAAACCCAAGCTCAGAGACCACCAAGGACTCCACAATTCAACCCCTAGCTACAAATATTATCTTCTATTGATTGCATTTCTTTGCTGTGTTTCATCTGAGAAGTTCAAGGTGGAGCCTCCAGGCTTATCTACCTCTGTGATTGAAGACTATTGACAGGCCCAGAGTTCGCCCCTGGTCAAATTGAATCTTGAATTTGGGATTTTACGGATTAGGGTTAAGATTAGGACAGCTACCATCCCCATTCAAAGTGTAAATGTCAGCATTCCAGAAAAACCCAACCCCAAGACAGGCATTTTCTCAAAGTTTCCTTTTATTAGAGTAGTTATACTGGCACATCTGGGAAAACCCGAATCTGAAAGTTCCAGGTTTTCCTCCAATAAAAAAATAATAAAAATCACCATCTGTCCTAACTTGAGACATCCCCTCTACTACTCCTCATCCAGGTGCAGGAATAACATGACCTTGGCTTTAAAGAAGAATGCTATTATGTCTAACCACCTAAGCGCCATGAAATCCCTCCTCCCACCTTCCAACACTCAAGAATGTGGCAGCATGGAAGCTGGTGGTGCTAATATGGCTTCCAAAGCGGACAGAAAGTTTGCAATAGTGGCAAATATTTGTAGCTCAGGTGTAGGATGAAGGTGAAGGTTTGTTCTCCAAGCTGGTGGGTTGGTTTCCAAATGTTTCATGACCAGGATAAGAAACATCTCGAGTGGAATTTAGGAGATGTCAGTGTTCTTTTGTTTATAAGGGCTTCTGGTGTGGTTGTATCGAGTGATGGGTCAGGTGTGAGTCATCAGTGAGAGTGTTGTGACGTGTCTTGTGATCGAGAGGTTACATCAGGTCAGGGTCATATAAGTTCTCCTTGAGCATAATTGGTAATTTTAAGGAAATGTCCATATTCTTAACAACAGCGTGGAAGCGTTTTCCCATTGCTTTCTTCCAGAGAGTTTTTTTTTTTTTTTACTTCTGAGTCAATTCCTCAACTCTACATCCAATCCTGATGGATTTTTTCAAGTCCAACCATGGTTGGCTGAGTGGAGCCATCTCTTTTGCTCTGAAGGACATGAAAGTTAGGGATGATGATGATCCCAAGAAAGCATCATCAGGCAATATCCTTCTTCCTTTTCAGGTGCTGGGTACCACATGGTGATGGTGAAAGAGCCCTATTGCAACCTCGGAGAGATCTCCCGCCTCATCTATCATTATGTCCCCAATGCTTCTCTGGAGAGCAACGTGGGGGCAGAATTGTCCTTCATTCTACCTAAGGAGAGCACACACAAGTAATCTCACCCTTAATAACTACGGGGGATGCCCGGGTGGGGGTCCAAGTTTGCCAAAGGCTCAAAGGCTCAATGGAAGTGATGGGAGTTGGATTCAATTCACCTGGAGAACATGGGCTTGAAGGATGCTACCTTGGTTGTACCACCAACTTATCCCTTCAGTTTTGCTTGCATAATGGGCCTTAACCATCTGTTGAACTCCAGTGCACTTCACCATGTCATAACCAAGGCCAAATTTGATCATGGTTACCTCGGTCAAGGACTCGTTTGATTGAACCCAATTTCTGCACTCATCATCTGCCCTGAAGAGCTGCGTGGGGTGGGTTTGAGGACCACGTCAGCCTTAAATGGAATTTGGTCGTATGGGTTGTCGTATGTTGTGTGAACACACACAGCCAGAACTGAGTTTCCTAAGCTTTTGAACCTGATAGGCAGGGTTGAACAGAATAACAGGATAACAACGCTGGGAGGGTCCTTGGAGGTCTTCTAGTCCAACCTCCTGCTAGAAGACCAGATTATAGGTGCTCTCAGAATAGCTTAAAAGAATCTCAAACCATCTGTTTTACCAGGCAGACGCACACACACACACACACCCTTTAGCATTTCCCAATTTCTTAATTTTTATCTTTTTGACAGACAGGGCCAATTCCAAACAAAATTGTCACTTGCTCTCCTTTTATTTTCTATGAGACCATTAGGCCTCTGTTATGGATAAAGATGACGGTAAAGGCTATGGTTTACTTCACAGCATATCTTCTCCTATATTGATTAAAATGCTATAATTACTAAGAGCCTCTTTTAAAATGAAGATCGTTACGGCTGACCTGAAGGGAGTTATCCATGGGCTTCTGAAAATCAACCTGGGTGTTGCTGTGAATGTGGTGACTGAATTCAAATCTTCTCCCTTACTTTTTCCTTCCAGATTTGAGGCTTTGTTCACAGAGCTGGAGTTACGCCGGGAAGAACTGGGCATTGCCAGTTATGGAGCTTCCGTTACTACAATGGAAGAGGTCTTCCTTAGGTAACTCTTTGATGAGCTTGCCAAGCGAGGTTGAAAGGTGGGCTTGGAAGATGAATTTGGCATGGGGTTGAAAGATGGGTTGAAAGGTGAACTTGGAAGGTGAGCTTGGGAGGTGGGTTTGGAAGGTCAACTTGGAAGGTGGGTTTGGAAGGTCAGCTTGGAAGGTGGGTTTGGAAGGTCAGCTTGGAAGGTGAGCTTGAAAGGTGGGCTTGGAAGGCGAGCTTGGAAGGTGGATTTGGAAGGTGAGCTTGAAAGGTGGGCTTGGAAGGTCAGCTTGGAGGATGAATTTGGCAGATGAGCTTGAAAGATGGGTTGAAAGGTGAACTTGAAAGGTGAGCTTGGAAGGTGGGTTTGGAAGGTGAGCTTGGAAGATAAATTTGGCAGATGAGCTTGAAAGGTGGGTTGAAAGGTGAACTTGGAAGGTGAGCTTGGAAGATGAGCTTGGAAGATGGGTTGGCCTTCTCAAGAGATCACATCCCATGAGGCTTCTTATGAGAGTAAAATGGGGGGAGTGGGAGAAAGTAAAATTCTGAATTTTGATCTTTCTTGAAGAGTTGGCAAGCTTGTGGATTCCAGCATGGACATCCAAGCCACCCAGCTGCCAGCTTTGCAGTACCAGCACGAACGGCGATCCAATGACTGGGCCACGGATGACTCCAGCAGCATGAGTGGCATGACGAACATGACCGATGACAGTGGGGCGCTCATCACCGAAGATTGCTCTAACATTAAGCTGAACACAGGGGTGAGTCCCTAATACTTGTTTCCATTTGGTGGTTGGGTTCTTTTTTGGTGGAGAGAATAACAAAGGGAACACAGATAGTTCTCAACATACAACTACAATTGGGAGCAGAATTTCTGCTAAACAAAGCAGTTGTTAAATGGGCCGCACCCAATTTAATGTCCTTTTGTTAAGTCAAACTGCAGTTGTTAACTAATCCAACTTTCCCCACTGGCTTTGATTGTGGGAAGCTATCTGGGGTCACAAACGGTGATCACACAACCCTGGGATCCTGCAACTATTTGGAAATACATGCTGGTTGCCAAACACTTGAATTTTGATCATGCAACCATAGGGTTGCTGCAATGGTTGTAAGGGCAAGGACCAGTTGCAAATCACCTTTTTCAGTTCCGTTGTAAGTTCGAACAGTCGTTAAAGAATGGTTAGAAGTCAAGGACTCCCTGTGTTTTCGTCATGGTCCAGATTTTGAGGGGCGAATCCAGAGAACGGTTCAGTATTTGAAACAATCAGAAACTGGCGGCAGTAGAACTCATGATTTAAAATAAGGGGGGTTGCCTTTAAGCTATGCAGGGAGCCTACACATTTTGGTACCCTCTGGAGCCCCGAGCTGGAAATCTGCAGAAATTTGGCAGCCTAAATTGCAGGAAGTCCTTGATTTATGATTGAAATGGATCCCAGAATTCCTATTACTAACCAAGACAGTTGTGGAGTGAATTTTGCCCCGTTTTACAAACCTTTCTTGCCCCAGTTGTTAAATGAATCACTGCAGTTAGTCACCCGTTGTAAAGTGAATTGGCCTTCCCCATTAATTTTGCTTGTCAGAAGGCTACAAAAAGGTTATCACGTGACTCCAGGACACTGCAACCATCATAAATATGAGCTGGTTGCTCCAAAGACTCTGAATTTTAATCACGTGACCGTGGGGAACGGTCGTAAGTGTGAAAAATGATGTTTTTTTCAATGCCGTTGTAACTTCGGTCATTAAAGGAAAGGCTGTAAGTCAAGGACTACCTGCATTTGTAGCTTTGTGGCGGAGCAAAATAAATAAGGGCATGAATTCATTTCCTAATTTTACATCAAATTCTTCTAGACCCGCTTTGGAGTCTACTATGACTCCAAGAACATTTTTCTAGGTAATTCTAACCATCTGGAATAAAGGCAGGGGTGGTCTTCAAAATTTTTAGCAAAGGCAGGGGTGGGATTCTACAGGTTCGCACCTATTTGCTAGAACCGAGTTGTTAACATTCGAAGCAGTTGGGAGAACCGGTTGTTAGAAGAAATTACTGGCCTAATCCTGTAAGGAAGGCAGGAAGGAAACATTCTGGTGTTGCTTACAGAAATTGCCTCTCCGTTAACCCTTATTACATTCTTGGCAGGACTAGACTTCCTGTCTCTGAAATGTCTCTGGAGTTTTTTCCCCCTCCTTTGCTGGTACTTTGCTTGTGTGGAGTGACCATTCAAAGTTACGATTGCACTGAAAAAAGTGACTTATGACCATTTTTCACACTTACGACTGTTGCAGCATCCCCACAGTCATGAGAGGCCAGGCGAGGAGATGCGTGCCTCGATGTGAGTGATGTCACATGACCACCAAGCCATGCCCACCATCTAAGCCATGCCCAGAGAACCAGTTGTTAAAAAATTTGAATCCCACCCCTGAGCAAAGGGTTCTCTGCCTGGATGCTGGGTGGGCGTGGCCATGGTGGGCGTGGCCTAGTCAGCCTCCTGCAACATGGCGGGAGGGTGTTTTTGTCTCCCCGGACTCCGGAGGCTTTTCTCGAGCCTCCAGAAGGGCAAAAATGACCTCCCCGGACTCCGGAGGCTCTCTGGAAGCCAGAAACGGGCCAGTTTCCAGCCTTCACAAGCTTCCTAGAGGCCTGTTTTTCACCTTCCCCAAGCCTCCGTGCACGCCCTGCACTTACCTGCATCCAAAACAGGCCACGTGGGGACTCCTGGGAGGGGAGGGGTGAGTGAGGCCAGAACTTGGGGGTTCTCCAAACTACACAGAATCTTAGCTAGGGACACTCCTGAACCGCTGCGAACTCCCAGCAGCCCAGCCCTGAGTAAAGGGGTTTGCAGAAAACTCACTCCCCTGTGTAAATCTTATCCTTTCTGCTCTCCTGTAGTTCTACCTCTGCTGCCAGCAGTTCTACGCCATGTTCATGAAGAGAGCGGTGTACAGCTGGCGCAACTGGAAGATGGTAGCAGCCCAGTTTTTGGTGCCTCTTATTTTCACTGCTTTTGCCTTGATCTCCGCCAAGACCTTCCCGGGACCGCAAGACTCTCCGTTGTTGAAGCTGACTTTAAATCCGTACGGGCAAACCACGGTGCCTTTCTCCGTCTCCCAAGGCTCCAGTCTGGGCGAGAGGCTGGCAGCGCAGTACAGGGATGCGGTTGGTGCTCAGCGCCAGGAGCCGTTGGAGGTGGTAGGTCAGTGACAATCCGAAGCTTTCCTTCTAGAGCAGAACTCAAGACACACAGGGGGCGGGGGGTCCTTTGTGCTCCTAAGAGGTCAGCCTGTCTAGGTAGACCAGATAGAAAACACAACCTGATGAGCTAATTCTAACTTTTATTGTAAGGCTACATTAAAAAGAAAAAGGGGTACGGTGGCCTAGCAGGATGCTGGGGTTCTCATTTGGAAGATGGGCAGTTTGAGACCCAAGCGTCAGGGGTGAGCTCCCACTCTTGCCTCGGTTCCTGCCAACCTAGCAGTTCGCAAGCGTGCAAATGCAAGTAGATAAATAGGTACCATTTGGTGGGAAGGTAGCCGCGTTCCATGTGCTTCGGCATACAGCCATGTTGGCCGTATGATCACAGAAGCATCTTTGGTCAACAGGGTCTCCCTCAATGAAGAAACGGAGACGAGAATCAACCCTTAGACTTGGGAACAACTAGACAGGGGAAACCTTTATCTTTACATCAAAAGAATCTAGCAAGTCTAAAAGTACAAATCTCCCACCACCTTCTTTGGAGTCTGAGACTCTGGGAAGCTTCACCCATTATGTAGCTGTGGGCTACGCCCTCTTTTATCTGGCCATTCCTTTCTTCGTTCTGCTTGCCAAGGTTTTTCTCACACATCATTCCTTAAGCCTACATCATCGCTTGACTGCTGTCAACCCCACGAGGTAGACCAGACCAGGAAATCTGCTGCATAAGGAAGCTAAAACCTCATTTATTGAGAATGACTAGAACAACACAAGTCAGACTGGGCTAGGCCTCATCCCCTTCTTATCATCTTCTTTTAATGACCCCATAATCCCTTGTGGGGTGGATTCTGGGTAACTGAATGGAGCTAGCAGAGTGTTTACTGGTCAGATGCCCTTCCTGTCACCAGTGTGGAGTTTTGTTCAGCAGATACATTTTCATTGTGGAGAGAGAGAGAGAGAGAGAGAAATATTTGCCTCTACCCAGGATTGAACTCCTAGCCTCCTGATTGTGAGGCGAGAGCTCCACCTCTAGGCCATCCCGCACCACTACCTCATCTCCTTCTTCTACTCCAGTAAACTAGAGAAATGTCTACTTGAGCCATTTCTGCATGTTATCTCTTTGTTTTAGGCTTTAAAAAAAATGCTTCCGTCCCTTAGAACAAGGGTATCCAAACTTGGCAACTTTAAGACCTGTGATATAATAGTTTGCAAAGATCACACAGCAAATGTAGGTTTTAATTTACTTTTACTGAAGCTGCTGTAATTTTGAACCACTGTTAAATGGACAATTGTAAGCCAAGGACTACCTAGAGTTCTCACGGTTAGACATTCCTGAATTATCACTCTATAAAAAGCTTCAAAGCCTTCAAAAAAAAAGCCTTCAAAGTTTAAAAAGCCTTCAAAGTTTAAAAAGCCTTCAAAGTTTAGAAAGCCTTCAAAGTTACAAAGGTGCTTTTTTTTTTCAAGAGGCAACTGGACATTCTGGTTTTTCTTTGAAGACGTTTCGCTTCTCATCCAAGAAGCTTCTTCAGCTCTGACTGGATGGTGGGGAAGGGAAGGACACAGACAAACCTCCAAGTGGCCTCAATGACCCTCTAAAAGGACGCAAATGACCAGCTGTCTGCAAGGAGTATAAATCCTTCCATTTCCCACCATCCTGTCAGAGCTGAAGAAGCTTCTTGGATGAGAAGCAAAATGTCTTCAAAGAAAAAAAAACTAGAAAGTCCAGTTGCCCCTTGAAAAAGCACCTATGGGACAACCATGACCTGGAGGACTGAGAATCTCTGTAGACCTTCAATGTTATAGTTTATGGCCCTTGTGGTTAGAAACATTAGTGTGCCACGTCCCCAATAAGTAGTGCTAATGGCTGAAATGGGGGTGCTAGTCAGTGAGGAGGCCCTCTTGAGGACATCTTCACTCTATAAAATGGATGCCCTTTCAGGAGACTTGGAGGAATATCTGATTTCTCGAGCATCCGAAGAAGCTGGAGCCTTTAATGAGTACCACATAGCGGCAGCTTCTTTCCAAGAGACCTCGGACCAGATAGACGTCACCGCTCTTTTCAACAACCAAGCGTTTCATTCTCCTGCCACTGCGTTGCTACTGGTGGACAATGCCTTGTTGAGGCTAATAGCGGGACCCAATGCCTCCATCACAGTGGCGAACTATCCGCAGCCTCGCAACATGACCGAGACAGCGAAGGACCAGCTCATGGAGTGAGTCCAGACTTCCTTTGTTTTTAATCTGTTTGCTTGCTTCACCTATATCCCATCTTTCACTCAAGATGGCTTATGTACGCCTGTTCCTTAGTTAGCAATCAAGTTCCATTTCAAGGGTCGGTATCAAGCAAGCTATCCCTGATTCCCCATCCAGATCAATTGTAGTTCCACCCAAACTGCGATAAAATGTGTCAGGTAGCAATTTAAGAGCTGACCAGCTGATGCAATGATGTAATGATGGGAGTGAGTCAGCAAGGTTTTTGGCTGTTATCCCTTTAAGAGCCTGTATAATAAGAAGAGGCTCTATTAGGGCATCTCTTTCTCTCGCTGTGTGTTCTTCCCTGCTGTAATTGCTGGTTGTTTGACCTCTGCCTAGAGTACATGTATGTATAGTAGATATTCTTTTGTAGATAAAACCACTATTTATTATAAACCTCTGTTTGCTGTTATTGCTCCTGGGTTGTTTGACATAGTAAAGCTGACAAAATAGTTTCTGGACCTAACTTTTAAACACAGTTTTCCAGCTGATTGTGCTTTGTCTTTGCAATATCCCGTAGAAGCCAGACAGGTTTTGCGATCGCCATTAACTTGCTTTACGGAATGGCCTCCTTATCCAGCACCTTTGCGCTCCTTCTGGTCAACGAGAGGGCCATCAAAGCCAAACACGTACAGTTTGTCAGCGGTGTTTACATGGTGAACTTCTGGCTCTCGGCGCTTCTATGGGACCTCATCAACTTCCTTACACCTTGCACCCTCATTCTGGTGAGTCATTCCTGGATAGCCTGTGTCATGCAAGGAACCCTGGCGGCATAGTGGTTAGAATGCAGTATTGCAGGCTGGCTCTGTCCACTGCTCTCTGCCCTCATTTTACCCACCTCGGAAGGATGGAAGGCTGAGTCAACGTTGAGCCCGGTGAGATTTATACTGCCAAATTGCAGGCAGCCAGCAGGCACCAGAAGTAGCCTGCAATACTGCCTTCTAACCACTGTGCACCATAGAG